CAATGAAAAATGCAAAATTTATGTCGTGCTCGATATATGCCACATGTTAAAGCTCAAAGATATGAGATGGTGAATATATTAAATAGAAGTTCATTAATAATTTAACAAACTGAAAAAAACAAAAACAAGAAGGTTTATGCCTAGGAAAGAAATTATGATCACTACATACTCAGTGATAGAAATAAAAAATAAAAGTTGTCTTTGCAGCCCAAACTTTAAGTTTAAGTGTGGCAGATGCCATAGAACTTTGAATTTCCCTAAGTTTGTGGAAAGTAAGCCCATAACTGAACTTACAAGAACATTTGATATACTTTTTTGATTCGTTCAACTCTGGAAATACGTTAGCTAAAAATTACAATAGTCCAATGAGAAATTCCAATGACATGTGTGTTATACACAAGTTTATACAGGAGAACCATGACTACGAAGATGCACCAAACTGCTCACTCCTTTCTCCTTATAATGAATCAGCCGTAGGATACATAGCTGGTTATGTATTCAAAATGTCACAAAAAGGAATGCATTGAACAGATTATTTCGAGATCTTAACAGATGAAAATTAAAGAAACTTGTCAATTTTACAACAAGTTAAATCAAATTATGTCAGGTAACAGAAAGTTGTTTTGAGAGACTCCTGGAATCAACAGATGGTGAACTTCCTCAAGCAATTAGCCTTGGAATACAGGTTGATGTTTTGAAAGAAGTAGTTTTAAATGGAGTTTTCTCTGAACAAATGGGCACATGTTTGATTGTACACTAAAAGATAATTATGGTTCCACTTTAATAAAGTGTTTAATTACGTGTTATATATATATGTGTGTGTGTGTGTGTGTGTTGCAGGTGAAAAGAATATATAAAAGCTTCCTAAACTAATTTTATTTAATTATCAATAGTTTAAAATTATATGGAGTACAAAAATTGTTTGTGCAGTATCTGAAATGTATGGATAAGATAAGTAATACCCAGGTACATACCCTCAGTATGGGTGCAAAATTTCAGGTGTCTAGGCTCACTCCCCTTGGAGATATGGCAGTCACACTTCTTTTCTATGTGTTTTTTCCTACCTTGCCTCATAAAAAGATGCGCACGCACGTGGATAAGTAACAATACCTCAGAGTCCACTTAGTATGTGTGTAAAATATCAGGTTTCTAGATTCTTTCCTCTTGGAGTTATGGCAATCAAACACACACACACACGCTATTTTATTATTATATATTAGCTATAGAGAAATTTGTTCAGGACCATTTATTAAATGTATTAATCTTAACATTAGCTTTAATACTGGGTAGGCTTCACATCAGTGCTCAAGTAATCATTATCGATTATGACAATAATTAAGTTAAGGTTGTGACGATCTGATACCAGTCATGGTTAGACAATCTTTCTGTCAAAATATCTGTGATCAAATTCCGGGCATTGAGACCACAAATCCAGCACTTCTAAAAAGACGACTGCAGATTAGCAGCCGAAGCGCGAGATATTAACTAATTAGTAATTAGCATCTAGTAATAAAAAAGTAACTGTCGTTGCAGGATATATACTAGTATTTTACTGCGAGAAAATATGGCGTCAGCCACTTCACGAACAAGTTCCTAGCATTTAAGTTTTAAAATCTACAGTAGTGGGTAGCCTGAGTTTCATTTCGGCTTGTTTGCTTACAACATTTTTTTACTCAAATAGATAAACGAGTGTTGATGCTGGCTTGTTTTTATTAACATGTTTTAACATAACAACAACCGGATGCGTGGTTTCCATCATATATTGGGATTACAATTTTATTCAATAGTTTTTTGTTCCTCCACTATACAAATTTGCCAGAGTCAATGAATTTAACAATAAATATTGACCCGAATATAGGGATACCACACTAATTTCTTACGTATACTGTACGCCTCAGTTACCTAACAGAAAATGAATGAGTAATAAAATGTTGACAACTAAATAAAGAATTATAATTAATTTCCTAAGTTTTTAATGTTTTGACCGGTATTATAAATTTCAACGTGAGAGTAAACAGCCCATACAGGAATTTTTTAAATATTTATAGACATTTAAAGGATATTTTAGAACCTTTACAACATTATTTATTTTTACATACGCTTAATGTTGATTATGTTTTATATTCTAGGAATACAACTAAGATTTCAAATATCTTAGGTAGACACTGTATTTATTTCAATTTATTGTAATTAAAATCTGAAGAAAAAATTATAATATTTATAACTATCTTCAGAGAGGATATTTTTCTGTGTTAAAGCTTACTGAATTTCTTATACACTTGTGGTACGCGTAATTGTCGTATGTTTTCTCTTTCTCGGTTACTAAATAATTTTTTTACAGTTTAAATGTAATTTGTGTTGGTTTTACTATAAAATGTTGGTTATGAGAGCCACTAAGTTTCCTTTACCTTAATTATTCACATGACTGGGTAAGTCACCAAGAACGTCACGTTTGGTTCCCTTTAATAAGAAAGGTTACTGTAACAATAACATGAAACATGATAACGACAGTGGTCATTTCTCGTAGTAAACTGGGTCATGTCCTAAGAACTTATACTGTTATGTCTCTGTTCGTTTGATAATTTCCCATAAAAATTCTCTCCGAGAAACTTCAGCGATACGAGTCCTTTCTTAAATAAAACTAGTTTATTCTTTCTCAATACAACTATGCGATACACTTAATTTCCACAATCACTTTAACTTAAACACACGCTATAATTCACAACGATTCGCGCACTTTACTTATGGTCACTACCGCTCGCTTGACTCAATTATCTGTCTCTGTATCTGTCTATCTGCAATTATTCTCCGCTTTATTTGCCGGGCTTATATATTGAAATAGAGGGCGTCTGGCAAACACTCGAGCCTTTATGATCCTTCTAGAAACTCATCACGTGTTACCAGCGTCACTTGTCTTCCGCTGTCGTAACAATACTCTCTTGTTGACTTGAGAGTGGTCCTCGGTTAGGCGGATAGCGCATGCACTAGAGAGAGAAAGAGAGTGTGTGTGTGTTGTACATCTATTACTATGTTGTGGTTTTTTTATTTTGGAATCACATTCGAAATACAGATTTAGATTTTTGCTTTAGATGCTGTTCTCTTTGTTTGCAGATTATCCATTTTCATTGCTTAAAGATCATTTTTCAGATTTAACGTTTATTTTTGCTTTCACTTGTACTTGTTTTCACTTCTTAGTTTAAAACTTAACTTCAACCTGAACTATTGAGAGCCACATAATAAAGATCTTTCTCACTCTCTTCCGTATCACCGACTGCTCATAAACAATTGCTTATGTTTAATTTAATTTTGATTTTTGTTTATTAATAAAAACATGTTGCTTTATACAATTTTATGTTTAGTCTCTTTCTCTGTCTTAGACCCCATCAAAGTCGGGGAAAGACTAATCTTTGCTCCGTGATATAGTATCCGATGGATCGTCCTGTTTTACATTTCCTTCAGGCTACTTTCAAGGAAATCAATGCAATCTGATAATATGTATTTTAGACAATATTAAATTGCTAAATATCATTATTTATGAAGTTGTGTGTTTATGTTCTCTAAAGTTATAGAGGGTAGCTAGTACATGAATGAGGGTACGATGTGTAATTTCTTCTGCGTTACACGTGTCCTCTGTATAGTAAATCAAAATAGCAATGTTTGTTTTTGTTTTTATATATTCGCGCAAAGCTTACCAAGGACTGTTTGCGCTTGCCATCGCTAATTTTGAACTGATAGACTATAAGGAAGGCAGTTAGTTAACAGCAACCACCGCTAACTCTTGGACTGCTCTTGTATGACGAAAAAATGGGATTTGACATTCAATTTTATAATGCAATCACGGACTCCAAAGTACGGAGCGCATTTTTTTTTTTTTTCGTTAAACGGGATGCAACAATGTATGTTCAGATGCATAGTCCTGCATGCTAACTACTGGGATCATGCTTCGTCCAAGTAGATATGATGTTGTTACAGTGCCATACAAAATTTTGAGATAGTGTGGTAATAATATAAATTTGATTTTTAGTGCATATGTACTCTTTTTGTTTGTTTGTTTGTGTTACGCGCACACATGATAATTTTATAAAGCTTATTGTTGTTATTAAAGTAAACAGTGTATAGGTCACGAGTATAACCAAACCCGACTCCAACCCCCAAACAGAATATAAACAAGAGAACTGCCCATTTGTTCTTGTAATATTTTTATCAGCAGTTTAGTAAATTTAAATTGTTTCAGTGAAAATGTAATTTTTAAAAACGTTGTCTCCTAATATGTCTCATGGGCAAAATTTTACCAATGGAACTGTCAAAGTTAAGAACAACATTAATTTATAACATTTTGTAGAATAGTAGCTTTTCGTTTTCATAACACTGAATCCATCATTGTACAGTAAATTAAGAAGAAGAAAATACTGTGTACACAATTGTACGTGATGTAAATAATCTTTATTTTTAAGGAATATGCTCTATTTTTCATTGTTAATTGTCGCTGTTGTTTCTTATCATAAAATGGCGGTTTCGGTTAGAGATGTTAAGGAGGATACTGTGAAGTATTTTCTTTATCCTCTGCTTGGAGATTTGAGGAAAGAGAAGAACCTCGACTTTTGTTTAAAAGATTTGGCTGATAAATATACTTACAGTTTAGGCCACTATCTTGCATCGTATATTTGGCAAGTAGAGCAGTTTAATCTAAACCATTTTGTTGGTTCTTGTCCTAATGACAAAAACAAAGGTTAGTTTATCTTTTAAAGTTTAAGTTTAACCTAGTCCAAACAATATTTGGTTTGTCACGTTAGAATGAACATTAGTGTAAAGTCAACTTGAATGCTAGAAACAATAGAATTAGGCTAATTTGTGAAAAGTAGTTGTGGATTTATAATTTATTTTACTTTTAGGCTTCAGATTTTGTTTCCTCTTAGCTCTTTTTTTTTTATTGATTTTTTCTGTAATAGCTCATGTCTAATTATGACACTGATAATAACTGTGATTTTAATTTGTAAACTCGAGTTTTGAATCAAACATTTTTATCAGTACGGAAAAGAATACTAATACTAATAGGTTTACATTTTTAAATTTTTGTAATTGGATTGGAAGGGGGGGATGTTATGGATGGATCAGGCTATCTATGCTGTTGCCAGTAGATATAGTGATTACCAAGAAAGTGTCTCTTCATTTCTTTCACTTTGGCTATCTTCATGGAAAATAAATTCTCGCAAGATTCATAGTTCAATCAAATTCCATGCAATCTTGACCATTAAGAAAGTAAGACTAAGCCTGGCCAACAAATTTATTGTATTGATTTTACTGCCATTAGTTTTTACTAAATTTTAGATGTCTGTGATTTTTTTAAGGACAGAAAATTTATGAGCAAATACTAATATTTTTTATTTTCAATGCTAATTTTCTACTTTTTTAATTACTGTTGAGGTTGTTCTTTTAAATGTAGACATAAGTGTTGATTAATGCAGAAGATAATAACATAATGTTTAGGGACCTATTGGTCCATCTAGGCTATCCCATCCTCTAACTAAACTAAAACTATTAAAAAAACTATAAAAACTCAAAGCCAACCCGTATCATTCATATAGTTATCAAGGTTTCTCTTAAAACTCATCTAAATTTATTGCCTCCACAACATCTGAAAGCAACCTGTTTCAAAGGCCAACCACCCTGTTAGAAAAATAAAACTGCCTTAGCTGAAAATGACTCCTACCCTGCCAAATATAATATTTGTCCCCTAGTCCTACCATTCTAACCATTAAGTGTGAAAAAAGATGTTGCATCAACACTATATATTCCCTTTACAGTCTTAAAGACCTCAATCAGATCCCCTCTAACTCTTCTTTTTTTTTCAAGAGAAAACAACTTCAGAGGACTTAACCTCTCTTTATATGACCCCTCCATCCCTAGCACCATTCTAGTAGCTCTCCTTTGAACGTTTTCTGACATATAATATTCTTCCTAAGGTAAGAAGCCTAAGACTGAATACAGTACTTCACATGTGGCCTAACCAGTGTATTCAATAATTCTGTAGATTCAACCTAAAATCCTATTTACCCTACCACTAGCAACAGCACACTGTTTGGATGACTTAGAGACTGATCAACCGTCACACCAAGATACCTTTCTTTTATGATACTATTAAGGTTATACTATCCAAATTATACTTACAATTGAAATTATGATAACCCACAATCATTATCTTGCATTTATTGTAATTAAAACTCATCTACCATTTATTTGCCCAACTCACTAAATGATTTAAATCCTTTTGTAAAGCATCAGCAACCTCCTCACAGCCAGCAACACCAAAGGCCTTAATATCATCAGCAAAGTTAAGTAATTCATTGAACATTCCTTCATCTGTGTCATTGATATAAATCAAAAAGATCAAAGTCCTAAGACTGATCCCTGAGGTACCTTACTTGTGACATTAATCCAGGTTGACTGAACTCCATTTATAATAACCCTCTGGTTTTTTACATTCAGCCAAATAGTAGTGATTAAGTTATTGTTAGATAGAGAGAAATAAATATAAATACAGAGCTCAGAATTAACACCAGAAAATAGGTTATTAGTGTTACAGGTTTGCTAGAACTTAGAAGGAACTAAGGAAGTATTTTGAGTGTACATTTCAGAAAAAATATTTGCAGATTCTCACTGTCAGATATCAATACACCTATGAGACATTCATTTTAGTCATTTATATAGCAAGATTCTGATTGTAGAAGGTTATTATAATTGTGATCAACAAGATTGTTTCACTTGCCAGTGCCATGCCTGTATTGTAATTCCCACTTGAGTTGTGTGGAATACTCAGGCCAAACATCAAGAAATAGGGATAGTGGAAAAGAAGCTTTAACGGGTTTGATTGGTTGCCAAGGCAATTAACATGTGGGTCAGCTAACTATATCCCCCACCATCTGGAGTTTTACCAACAATGTGGTTAGATTGTTCCCAAGTGGTTGCCCATTTGAGATAATAACAAAATAGAAATCACATAAACTGTAAACTTTTTTTTTTCCACACTACCTTTAATTTGTTGATGATTAACACAAATGCTAGGCTTATTTGCTTTAATGCCTCACCTGCTTTTAGTGTTTAAACTGTAACCTTTATAATAAAATGTTTTGTTTTGTATAGGGCAGCCATTAGCAGTGGGGTACCGTAGACTTTGTTGACCAAGATTTACCTGTTTCCACCCAAATCATTCATGTTTTAACTTTTGTAAAATAGTTAATGTAAAAACTGTTACTTGTAATTAAATTGAGTTTGATAATCAAAATATTTGAAAAGAAGATGTGGCATAGAAGATTTACATGCATAATTTAAGATATATACATAATTATTAGCATTTATAGTATGAAATAATTAATCGTGACACAGTTAAAGTTAATTTTAGAGAAGAATAGCATTATTGTTAGCAGTAGTCCCAAATTTGCTATTGGTTAAAAAAAGGCAACATACAACCATTTTCTAGTGCCTTCAGAAGTTAAGTTCCAGGCCTGACATAGAAAACTTTAAAGTAATGTTAACCAAACATCCATATTAAATTTTTCATAACATTTTAGCTTTCAAATTACATTAAATGCAAGAGTTTAAACCAGTGTTCTACAAGCCCCCTTCAGCTGGTTCATGGAAAGATTGCATAACTGTGGAAGGGAAAAGGCAGTATATATATATATATAGTTTATGTATGTAAATTCCTTTGTGATAACCTGAGATAAAAAAAAAATAAGTTTGAGAATCACTGGTCCAAACCATTAGATCAGGATTACAATACCCTACAGTCAAATAAATAATTAGAAATTTCCTTTCAACAGTTCTACTGACTCAGTGAGAATGTGTGCTACAAACTTTTATGACATAACAAATTATCTGTGTATAATAATAACATGAAATGTTTTGATAATTATTACACCCTTAATTAAACAGAAAATATTGATTTCACCATTCCTCATAGTACTTAGATTAGAGCTGATAGATTATATTGACTATTGTCACATAAAATTTGTAACTAAATGTATTATATTTAAATTGAGTAATATTACAAAACTAATCAACTAACCAAAAATTAATGGTTCCAATTATTCATATTTTTGATTGTTTCAGCTACCCAAATCTCAAGTGAGAATAATCTATTAGTTGAATGTCATTGATTAATGAGCCCAACAATTAATCAATTGGCAAATTTTACTTACCTCCTAGCTCTAATGATGTAGTACATGAAGTTAGTTTGAATAATTTTATTGAAGTTTTATTGGATATATATAAATATGAAAGGCTATGTACAGATAAAATTATCTAAATTTTTATTGTATTTTTTGTGGATGATAGCTGACCTCAGTTTACTTAATATCTGTTACTGTGCTTTTTCATATGTTCTTAACAGTTAAGGTAGATTAAGATGCAAAACAACTTTACAATTCTTTAACCAAGTAATAAGACTATTGTCCTCAGGTTAGTACACGTGCATTTTATATGTTTTATACCATTTAGGAAAGTGTTTTAGGATTAGGAAATTGATGTTATTCATCAGCAACAAGAATAATGTAGTGGTCACTGGTAGAAACATTATCATTATATGACCACATTATTGTACTTGACCCTAGTAGGAACATCCTCATCTTGTAAGAATAATAATTAATAGAAACTGATGGGAAAAATCTTCAACAGAATAATGTACACATACTAGACACTAATTGGAACACTGATTGTATAGGGATCAAATTTAATGTTTGAAATCTTATGATCCTGATAGACTCGTGATTTCTCAGAAGCTTACAAAAGAGCAGTCCTATGACATACTGATTATCAAATAAAACATCCTCTAAACCATACCATCACTCGGATAACTATTGAACAAAAATTAACCTATCAATAGTGATTTCTCTTGATAAAAAAATTGTGAAAAATTTGCTAATAATTATGTTAAAGTCTCCCACTTTTTATCAGTGGCATTAATGGTAAACATATGCTGAAGAACAATGCATTGTTCTAAATTTGTTTGATGATCATAAAAGTATAATTAAACTAATAATGCCATTATGAGAAACAGAAAGTTGAAAAAATCAGTGGTATGTACAATATGATTTATTTTACTACTAAGTTAAAATAGACAGTTCTGGAAAGTAAAGAGTAGGCCACTGTGAGTTTTATCCTTCTATCCAGAATCAATAACAGGAAACATCTTAAACTTTAATGCTGACAGCAACTTTATGTTCTTTCTTGTATATTTAACTGTGATCTAATGAAAAACACCTTAGGTGTGAAAATAAGATGCAGCCAAAGAAGGATTCAGTGTGCAACTAAAAGGAAGGAAATCAAATTTGGCAGCCAAACTGGTAGCTACATTTATAGCATTGATAAGAATTTTACATCAAATATTCATTCATTAATTAGCCAGGCTGCATGATGGTGGGTAAAACAAAACAACTGGCCTAGCTGAATATTTGCTGTAAACTTCTTATCAATGCTATAAGTGTAGCTATCAGTTTGACTGCCAATTCTCATTAATTTCTTTAAGTCACATGCTCAATCCTTTTTTGACCGTGCTTTTTTTTTTTCCACCTAAGGTGTTTTTGATTAGCTATCATGACTTTTTTATCAATTGTAACCCTATTATTCAGAACAGACCTATACTTCACAGAACCAACCAGATTCTTTAATATATATGGTGGTAGTTTTTCCTCTCTTAAAACAATGTTAATAGCTTCCTTTATACTAACACCATGGAATTTAAATTATCAGTTTTTTGTCATCACCCCCATGCAATTGGTACAGCCATAACAAGCATCATTATTTATGCTAAATGCTTACGCTAGTATCATGTGACACTAAATGCTTTTTAATTAAGATGATTTCATAAAATTTACTAAATTTGTGCTGAAAAATTGATAATGAATAATCAATAATAACCCTCCACCCATATGATTCTTTTGAAAACTTGAGCTAGAAACTGCTAATCTAGTTGACTTGGCCTAACCCATATTTATGTATCTGAACATACTTTCACTTTATAGTTTTGCTGCTCTAAACCAGCTGTCTTTAATCAGAGTGACAAAAAAACTAATAATGGTCCACTTTTACTTTTAGGAGAAGCTGTAGTAAAAATATTAGACCAATAGCTAACATGACTTTTTGTGTAGGCATGCACAAAAATATTCATTAAATTTGAGCAGTTTTTGTTGAATATCTTTACACATGTGGCTTATACTTACACAAAATGAGACTCCTAATTGTAGGTTATAAAGATCTACCAGTGAACCAAATTTGAAAAAAATTCATAAAAGCTAAGTATGTTTTTCTATCAAATAAAGTTTCTGTACAAAAAGGAAGAAAATCAAAAGTGGAGATGTTATATCTCAGGTATTTCTTAATGGATTGCCTTGAAATTTGGTATGTGAAGTAAGAGTCCAGTATAGCACATCCACTGAAAATATGTGATAGTTTTAATAACCACAGTCCTAGCTACTAAAGGTATATTCTACAGGTTGTTTTTTTTAACCGCTAGATACACAACCATGTGTCTTGATTCTTTGGCTCATAATCCCAGTGACTCAGCAGTAAGTCTGAAGGCTTACAGTGCTAAAAATGGGTTTTGATACCTGTGGTAAGCACATCACCGATAGCTTTGTGCTTAGCAACAAATAACTATAAACTCCTATTAAGTTCAGTCCTAATGTGTGTGTGGAAATTTATACTGGCCTGGTAACTAGCGTACTAAACAATGATACATGTAGGAGAAATAATCATCATGTGGCCAAATTATTTTAATGTACAGTAGTAAGAACATCCTTATATCAAGAAATTTGTACTAGTCATTGCTAAGATCATTTTTATAATGACCAGAATAATGGACTGCAGTAAAAAACTTACAATTGCCTGACTAGGATATTATACTGAAATTAGACAGGAACATCATTACTGCTTATGTAGGGAAGTTACAAGACACCAGTAACGTGAAGTTCTGGATTTTCTAAGCAAATTGTAAATAATTCCAACTCAATCCTAAATGAGAGAGACAAAATGTTTTACAAGTAGTAACAATATTCACTTTATTAACACATAGGAAATGATAATTCCTAGGAACAAAAATGTAGAAATAAAGTTTTTAGTTTGAGGTCAACTATATGTGTCTGGATGAGATGTAAGACAACTTCACCAGACAACAACCAAGGCAAAGTTTGAGGAAGAACTGACTCTGCTTTTGGTTATTCAATCCTAATCTCTACCAGGGCTCCCCAGTATGTCCAAATCATCCAATTAATTCCATGTATTGAAATGAAAACCTAAGTTTCCTACAACTCTATTACTATATATAATCAACACACACTAAACGGTCCTTAATAAAACTAATCAATAAATTATTAAACATGCTTGTTAATCTTGTTACATATTACAATTTCAAATGGTCTGAAACTGGGCTAAATGATAATTTAAATTCAGTAGTTAAATAAATGCCGATATATCTCCAACATATGATATTTGCCAAGAAGATTGATACACACAGTTTTCTTTTAATACAAATGTGTTTTAATATAAAAACAACAATACAATTTGCAATAACAGTTATTACACATAGTTATTACAAACAATGATTTATATACAAAAGTTTCACAAACTTACAAACAATATAAAGTCTTCTTTCTAGTGTGGAACTTTCTTGATATCTTATCGAGGGTTGATGATGAGCGAGTTAATTTCAAGTTGATGTAGGTATAATTCACTTAACAGGGAGCTAGCTAGTCCAGTAGTTCTCGTTGATCACATGCCAATTACAGGTCGAGTTCCACTGATGACATTAGGTAATGTTTTCATAAAAGTACTAATGTCCGATGTGAATCCACTGAAGTTAAATGATTTGTGATATTCAAAATTTATAAATGTTCCTGGTCAAATATCTGAAGTGCCCCAATTGATAAGCATTATAACAATCATAGTTATAGCTTCTGAAGTTTATAGCAAACAAATAATAGATACTCTTCATTTTTTTAGGCATGTTGCATTGGTTATATTTATAGGCATGTGGAGACTTTTTCGAAATTTCAGCTTTACGTAACAATATTGACGCTAACACTATCGTTTATGTACACACACATATTGTTGATTCTTACACTCAAGAACCTTCTACAACTTTAGAGAATAGGCAGGAGTTTCACAATACATATTTAACTGTATAAGTTATATACATTTCTAAATATAAATTTAATCTAAACAGACTTTGACATTAAAATAAATATATAATAATAAATCCGTCACAATCTGAAGTAAGAATGGTGCAGTTTAAGGTTGGGCAAACATTGTTTATAAAAAAAGTGTTTCTCAGCCAGATTTGCCAGACAATCCCAGTTTGCAGGCTTTGGTCATTGCAACCCCCAGTATCTTTACAGTTTCTTGGCACAGTTCATTATAGTTCATAACAAAGTTGATATGTGCATTTCTCAGACACCTTGAGAACTGAAAAAACAGTTTTGACTCCACTGAAAGTTCGTAATCCCCCCCCTCTGGAAACCTGTTTGGAACCCACAAGGGGGTCATGACCCACCATAGGAGAAACACTGATCTAGAACTTCGTCTGGTGACTAAGCACATATAACCAACACTAAATGTTTTATAACTGTATGAATAAAGACATGTTCATACCATAACTATAGAGAGGTTTAGTTATGATTTCTACATATCACAACTTTTCTTGATGATGATACGAAAGATATCATTCATAGAAGAGATTACTATATGCTAGTACATTATAGGAATATGGTAACAGCCTCATCAGTGATGATAGTCAGAGGTAAGATGACAAAAATATCAAGCTTATCATTTGTCTCTGCTTATACAGTGAAATTTCATTTGTAATGAAGTAATTCTTGCAGATTATCATGATGTTATTCGAATCAATCACTTTGAACAATGATCACTATTAATAGCATGTGTTATTGATCCACAAATGTAAGAGTGTGAGTTAGCGAAGGTGGGCATGCAACTATATGTACAATAAACTTATCAGCTTATTATTTTGTATGTCATCAATAATTCTACAAATTACATAATCAAAGTGGCCTATCTTCACATAAATCATCAGTTTGTTCAAACCAATAACCTACTTATATAATACAAATTACATAGTATATGTATTTCTTGTATAAACTACGTTTTAATGATGGTGACATTTTGATGCTTCTTTGTTTTGGAGGACTCTGACTTGACCTCTTAATATCTTTTATACTTTATGAATGCATCCCTATTATGAAGGTCATTCTCAAGAAAATTGTTGTTAACCAGTAGGCACTATGAATGCAGGTGTTTTGTGGTCATTAATTATCACCTCGTTTCTGTTCTGATTAATTCCTACTTCACTCTCCTAGAGTCATGTATGGATTACTGAATCATGTATCCATAGGAAATACATGTTTATTGTAAGAAATAGCTGTTTGGATTTGAAACACGAGTATACAGATTATTGATTAAATTTCCTATTGTGAAGATTTGTCGATATGAAAAGCCACTCAGATTATGAATATTCTAGATTTCAATGTTTTGACTTACAAAGTTTTGCTGTAAATACAAATCTTTCATTTATGGTAAAAATGTGAGTTTTCTTTATTGAATTGAAAATTATAATAAATTTATATTGTGTATGTTTGTTATTGATAGGGTTTTTACCTCATCTGGGAGGAACTACATATTTTGGAGACAATGTGGAAGATGAATGGTTTATTGTGTTTCTTCTCTTGGAGCTATCAAAGAAAAACCCTGACCTTGTTATCAAGTAAGCATTATTTAATATTTTACAATTAATTTTAACTGCTTTCTAATACCGTTATTTTTAAGCTTCTACCTTGTCTTCCAATTACTATTGGATTATAAGTATAACAAGTATCTTGGATAAAATGTAAAGTATTGTACTTGTTTTCACCCCACAAAGGAGGATTTAATTGTTTTAATACTACTTGTCACTTGGTCTTGTGTAAGCATGGTACTGTGTGTGAACATGGTTGCATAATTTTCTAAATTTTTGTTTTCAGTGAATATGATATTGTAATGAAAAAAAATGGGTTTCTAATTATACAAAATAGTAGGCCTAAGAAAGATGAAGAAAGTTTTTCATCAGTCTGCTCATTAGTTATTTCAGTTAAAGTTAATTGAGCTTATTGAGAAATAGGTAAAAATATTGGATTCTTAGGTTGTTTTTTTTTTTCTTAGTTTAGGAATTACAACTTAGATAATCTGAGTGTTTGTCTGGATGAGCCACAAATTATGACTAAGACTAGCTTTTACTTATTTGGTTCATGATGAACATATGTACTTCTGTGGCTTATTCTAAGACATATGATATTTTTTGCAATATATATGTATTTGAATGAATAATGTTTGGTAATAACAGATTAAAGAAATTATTAACTAAGATTAAACATAGTCTGGATGGAAAGTTTTGAGGTTATGAATAACTCTACAAGGAAATATCTGAATGTAAACTGGTTAGATTTGTGGGATAATTTTAACAGAGGATGAAAGTTGTTTGTTCATGATGTACTCTTCTTGAATAAGTTGGGATGTACAACATTTATTGAACTATTCATCGCTTCAGCTTGAACTAAGCTTAATTAGTGCTTAAAAGATGCATTATGACTTTAAGAAATATAATTTCTATTTCTTCATAGACATAATTGAAAAGTAAGTTGTTTTTGCTTACACAAAAACTAGAAATATTTCTGATAAGACTTTAGAATTGAAGACTGGTTATTGTTGTGATTTCAGATGATATAATTGGTGTTAAGTTTTTAGTTAAATGTAGTGTGTGTGTGGTCTATGGGCAGTTTCTAATTTTTTTAGATATTTTAAATGAGTAAGCTTTATGGGAGTTTTGATTTCATGGTTTTGACTTATTTTGTGAAAAATATTTCAGCTAAAGTAATTGATAGACAAAGGCAAAAGGTTCTTGTTAGCATGTTCATTAGTTCTTCCAGTCAGGTTTGTAATGGCAAGAGATAGAATGCCTCTACTGAAAACAGGTCTGTTACCTTAGAAGAGACTAGTTTGAAGGAGATTGCCTTATAAAAATTTTCATCTTCATGTGAGTTTGGAGAATTTAATAACAATTTGGAGGATTGCTTTCTTATTTATCTCAAAGAGCCCACTGGGAGAGATGCTGTTTAAGACCTTTCAAATATAATTAGAAACAGAAGCACTACAACAACAAATGTAAACATATTTGTTCAGTGAACATTTTGGAATCTGCAAATTCATTTTCCTTGATCTCTTGTAATAAACAGTGATGTGTAATAAATACAAGTAAAAGTAGTTTCATGTTAAAATTGAAGAAGATGAAAAATATATATAAACGAAAACTGAAAGGCACTGAAACATAACATCTGTTATTATGTATGACTTAAATAAGCAAAAATGTAATCTCTGTAGCCTTTGTCATTTTCTAATAATTAAAATAATTTGTGTGAGTGTCACATAAAATACTTCAAATTATTTTATTATTGAATGACAGTTTTTAATTGCATTATACTTACAATATACAAGAGTTGAAGACAGTGATGGAGAATTTCTTCTTATTGAGACAGCAGAATATCTTCCAAAGTGGGTTAATCCAGAAACCAGTGAAAACAGGGTAAGATCTAAACGATATTTGATAACCAGAACAACATTTTAAATGTTAGAATAAAGAAGTTTTAGAACTCTCCAAGACTTAAGATATTGAATGTCAAAAATTAGTGGTGAAACAAGTACACGCACCAGTGCATCACAGTTTTTCTCAACAGTACAATACACAGTACAGAAGTCCTGCATTGTGATTCACTGCGATACATTTCCAAGTTAAAAAATAAGATACTATGTTAAAAATTATTAATTTTATATTATCATTAAGTAAAACAAATATAGTTATAAAAAAAATTCATTAATGATTGAGGTAGTACAATGTTGTCAACAAGTTACATTAAGTCTTGTACTAACTTTGTAATTATGCATTATTGTGGAGTGTTTTAATTTGCAGGAATGTTTTATTCATAATGAAGTGTCAATAAATACTTGCCATTTAAAAAAAATTCCAAACAGTCTTGTACATAATATGCATTGTATATCTGTTATCTTTACAGTAGTGTTTTGTTCATATTAGGGCTTTATTATTAAGCATCATGATCACTGAGCTTGAAGATTGTTTTGTTTTTATTTCAGTTTATAATATAGAAAAAATTAAATCCTGTGTTGATGTTATTTTCTGTAATTCTTTCTTGCATTTCTAATCACTGGCAATAATTCAAGTATTTTTCAGTTATAAAGTATTTATCATGAAATGTATCTTGTGAACAAGATGTTGTGGAATTTATCAATACACAGAAACAAGTATTTCCAAAGCATTGTTTCACACTATATAACATTATTACATAAGTTAACTATATACTTTCTAATGTAGTATAGCATTTTTTAGCTCATCACAATTATAATTCTTTTTGATGAGTTCTAATACTGTTATTGTATATCTCATACTTTTCAAAAATCAGTTCCATGCATTTGATACAAGCTTTTTAAATGTGTACAAGCCTTTCTTTTTTGTCAGAATTGTGACTCTTGATGATGAATATGCTTTCATTGATTGAAAATAAATATATCAAGTATTTTTGTTTTCTCTTTATTTAAATAAACATCAGTTAGAACTGCAGTTTTCTTGCTTGCTGTATGTTTGGTTTAATTGTTTAGATGAACAGTTTGTTTATTTTTTTCTGTGTGAAATTGCAGTTTTCTTCATATAGAGTACATTTCTTTATAACTTTTAATTATTTTTATATCTCCTATCTGTGATATAGGTGTTTCTATATCAAGGCCAACTGCATTTAATTCCTATTGCTCGCACCCCTGCTGAAGTAACTTCATTACCTAGTGGAACACCTGCATTGGAAGATGCCATCATGGCAGTAAGGGAATATTCAACTATTACAGTTGCTAACCAGGACATACAAAATGCATTGAAAAAGAGAATTTCTGGGTATGGATAAAGTATTAAAAATTTGGGTATTGTATAGCATTTGTAGGGGCAATTAATTAATATTATAATTAACACAACTTTATATGTGGACAAAAAATGAGATTCTCTTAATTTCATCCTGATAACTTGATGAAGTGAAAATTCAAGCTTGTGATACTAGAGTCATATATTTTAGTTGGTATTACCTTAATAGTTATTGATCTTTTTTTTTTTAATTTTGAAAATTGAAATACCTTTAATTTGTATATTACTAATAACAGACTTGATTTTCTTCAGGAAATACAAAACAATTACGTAAGAAGTAAATCAGAATATTAGTGACTTGTATTGAAGATTGTGACCACTATTGTGGCTCAATATAAAATGATCATATATTTTGAAGCATTTTAAATGTTTTCATTATTAATGTTAAGTTTTTAAGATTAAAATTATATAACATATACAATCAAACTGTTATAACAAAATTTATTTTGGTGAATTTTTTTTAAGACATTCATTAGCGTTCATATATAATCATTTATGATTGAAAATCGTATCACTGATGTATTTAATTATTTTAAAGCAGCCCATTGTATGACAAAAATAGTCTAATGTGTTATTAGTCTTGTGTAATTTCTCTATAACTTTATTTGCAGGCTTAAAGCACTGTGACAGCTATGTGTTTTATGGAAGTGAGGCAAAACACAAAATGTATATATATATTACATAAAGTAAAAAAAAACTTCCACACTTTATTGAGCTCTTCCAGATGAAAATTTTGGACTTCAGTTTTCTTGTTTTAGAATTTATCATTGCATATAGTGTTGCTTCTTGGTAATTTGTTGAAGAATTTGTAATTTTTTCCCCTCATCACCTAAAAAATAAAATGTGAGGCCTAGTCTGTTTTAAGACTTGCCACCTGTCACTAAGTTTTTACCATTTTCTGTGAATTACACCCATTATCAGTAATCTTGCAAGGAAGGTGCCATGCAGAATTTATAGTACAAAGTGCCACCACAAAAAAAAATTGTTCCCTTTTATAATATGAATGTAACATTGATGGTCTTAATACCTTTTAAAATAAAGTAAAACTGTATTATTATTTTTTTCCCACATTGACATATTTTTTTTATTTATAATAATAGTGTTATTGTTTAGGTACTGTGTTTTATTAAATAATGCATGCTTGTTGGCTGTTACTGAATTCTATTAGTGGATTTTCATACTTTAAGATAATGTATAACTCTATTTTTATATAGATATCCAGCTAAGATACAAGAATTTCAACATAGAGCCCATTGTTATGTCCCAGCTGGTGTTGCCACTATCCTGAAACATGAGCCACAGCTTGTCTCAGATGCAGTCCATGCATTTTACCACAGAGACCCTCTGGATTTAAAGGTAAAAACCAAGCAGTGCTAATATACGTGTAATTATTTCACTTAACAAATATTTTCTGAATGTTGTGTATTTTGATTGAGACACTACATAATAAAATAATAACATTATTTTCCAATTAGGTTGAAAACATGTAGGGAAATTAACTGTGTAATATATTTAAAGAAATTGTAACTAAAAGAGAAAGACAAAAAAACTTTAAGTGTGATCTTAAATTATGGCTTAAGAAAGAAAAACTTTTTAAAGAAACCTTAAAAGAAAAAAATGTTCAAATTATGGTAAAATTAAGTTAAACTGGGAAGTTTAATACAAGTCTTTGTTGGCTGGCTCAGTGGTGAAGAAGTTGGGCTTAATTTTTTGTATGCATATTTACAAAATATTCTTATTGACATATTATATCATTACAAACTTCTAATACACAACCATCTGATATTTTATTTTCATATATTTGAAAATAATCAACCAAAAAGGTCATTAAATATCAAGGGTCATATTTCTTATCATGCTTAAACTTCATGACTTTGATTAATAATTTATACTTACTCTCTGGCCAGCATAAGAAATGCAGATTGTCATTCACTTCTCTACAGAACAAATAGCTAGTGTCTCAGCACCACTGCCTACAAGTTTTCTGCATGCACCAACTTATTGTAAGAACTCTCATCCCTACATGTAATAATATTAACTGCACTAGTCTATGATGCAATTATCAATCTGAATTACTCACATATAGACAAACTAAATTGAACAGCTATTTCTTATAAGAAATAACTTTTATTTTCTATGAATACATGATTCAGTAATCCATACATGACTGCACTAGAGTCAAATAGGAATCAATTAGAACAGAAAACAAGGTGATTATTATTTACATCTAAACATCTACATTCACAGTATGTACCAGTTTATGACAGTATTCTTGAGAATGATTTTTAATTGCAGGGAGTACTTACCAATTTTTATGAAAACAGTCTCACAGTAGGAATTTACATATAAACTATAACAAATATTGAGAGGTCATCAGAGTTATGCTACAATCATGTCAAGGCACAGTTCTCCAAAATGAAGACCTGTTGAAATATCAGCATTATTAAAATGTACAAGAAAGCAATACATATACCATGTATTTTATATTGTATAAGATCAATGGTTTGAAGAAAATGATTTATATGAAGATAATGACATAATAGGTCACTTTGATTATTATTTAATTTGTATAATTATTGATGACGTATTGAATAATAATAAGCAGTGGTGGGATTCAGCCGGTTCGCA